CGGCAGCACGAGCAGCCCCGGCGCGCGCGCGCCGGCCATGGCGCCCTCCGCCCCGGACAGCGGCGGCGCCCGCCCCGCGCGGGAAACGAAACCGAACCCCGCTGGGAAACGGAAAGAGAAACGGGCGCGTCCCCGCTGTTCAGTTGCGGCTCCTTCGTGGCCCAGCCCCAAAACTGCCCCGGCTGTTTTCGTCTTGCGAAACAACCCTCAGAGGGGCATTTACAACCCTTGCAAACCTCTTATTTGCCTAAGTCTCTATCAGGCTGCTATCTCTATAGCAGCAGCACGACAACAACCTGTAACAAAGGTTTCTAGAGTGTAATTTGTAATGTAATTTTATTCTTATCTCTGAAGAGGCTCCCCTTCAGCTTTACCGTCTATATTATAATAAGAACAAGTCTCTGAGGTTACACAGTGAAATAAGCATTCACGTTACATGCTTTTGTTTTAACCTCTTCACATATTCTAGTTTCCTAAGAGAATGATTCCCATACTTTTCACCTCCCCTTTTCTACATTTATTTATCATCATCAGAGCCCTTTATGTTCAAAGGCCCTCAATTGTGCAAAATGAATTATTTTTCAGCAAATGTAATTATGAGGATCTCCCTCATTATGATGTTCTTTATGAAAACTGCAATATTCCCTATCCCTGGAACACCAAAGCCCTTACCTAGCTATGGAACAGCACAGTGGTCTAGCAGAGCTATGTTGCATCGACCAACCCTAGCACCTAACAAGATGGTTTAAAAGGAAGAAAAGAAGAGCCTTTAGGAGAAGAACCTTATTAGGTCACCAATGGTGGGTGACACCCCCCCCCCCCCCTTTATTGCCTTCACCTGCACAGCTGGGATTTGCTGTGGGTGGGTGTCTGGGCCTGATGTGGAGTGACTGGCCAGCGAGAGGGGGTTGGCTCTGTCTGCTGGGGATAAAAGCCACATGGCAGAACTGCTGCCTTGGAAGCTGCTCTTTCTGTTTGGGTTGTGAGGCTTGATCCTCTCCCTGTCTGTGCAGGTAGGACTGCCCTAGAGATGAGAACAATCCTCTGGAAGGAGGGGGAACGGGTGGGAAATCTGTGCTTTAATACCTATACTTTATCGGTGTATGTATGTTTGTGTGTATATGCCCAGATTATATGGGGTAAACACACATATTTACAGAGATAGATGCTTATATTCTATGTATCACACATAGGATATGTAGGTGTCTGCTAATGCATGTTCTGTGTATATATTTTTGCACAACATTTTCACAGCTACCTGTGTATCTAGATATGTATCACTATGTGCATGTATGTAATATATGTCTGTGTATATAGCATGTGCATAAGAATACATACATTACAAAGATATGTATTCATATATATTGGTGTGTATAATGTGTATTTAACAATGTGGGCTGTATATTTATGTATAGTATTTGTAGATCTTCATGTGCACAAAATCATGTAAATTGATTTCTATATGTATAAATAGAACAGATAGGTATGTCTATACAAATGTTGAGCATATTTCCATGTTTTATTTAAAATAGAGATATACAGGTGTATAGATATATTTACACACAGGTCTATATTGCATATGCATTATATATACATAGATTTTTCTATAAGGATGAATATAAAAAGCTATAATTTGTGCTTTTAAGTGTCTTGCATAGAAGGAATCATGAGTGGGTGCAGATAGATGTGTATTTTATGTATGACACATATGGTCAATACATAGATAGATTTATGCTAATACTATATATGTACCTGCATATATACATGTTCATATACACAGATATAGAAAAATACACACACAAAAATATGTATTTGTGCATGTTTGCCACATGCACACACAAATATCTGTTGATATGCAGGTATATGTGTACATATACCAACAAATGAGTGAACGTATCTCTGCATACCAACAGACAGATATATGTGGATAGACAGTATCCACTGTTTAGGTGTGTGTGGGCATACATGTGTATACCCATGTGTAGATTGTATGTTTGTACACAGGTACATTCTGTATATATGCACATGTGTATTGTTTATATGCTATATGTGCATATAAGTATGTTAGTATATATCTGTATGTAGATATATAGGTGAGTGTGTATGTGTAGATGCATATACATTCTATATATATTGACACAGGTATCTGCATATGAATGCTTGTCTAAGCTTATACACTGTTTATGCTGTACATGTGTGCATAAAGCATATGTGCATAAGTATCATGTATGTGTATGCTATACATGCATGTTTATATAGATGAGCATTTTCAACAGTGCATTCTATAAATTTACTCATACGCAAGTGTGAATGCATATAGGCATGTGTATTCTGTGCATAACCAATACCTATGGTAGGTATAGGTATATGCAAGTATGTTGTGTGTATCTACACACAGCATATAATGTATGTAGATATGCATTCTATATATCTTTATGTATTTTATGTGTATCTTTATGTGTATACTTATATATGCTATATATACTTCTGCACAACATTCTTAAACATGTACTGGCATATCTACATATATGTCTATGTGCATATATACAGTACAGTGTCATACAGCATGTATACATAAGTATACACAGTATAGAGGTATATCCACACATATGACCATATGTATGTATATAGTGTGTATATTTTTCAATGCAGTCTATAGATGTCTATATATGTGTGTATATATGCATTGCACACCTTGATGTAGATAGACTTCTATGTATAATATCAATATGTATGGTACATACAGGTATATTTATGGAAATATTTGTATGGGAATATTTACCTGTGTTAATCATTACATAGATTATTTAAGCATGTGTATATATATTTGCACACATGCCTATATTGCATTATATATTATATATGCATATATTATATTTAAAGCTAAGTATATAAAGCTATAATATTTAACAGTGTATTCCATCAAAATATTAATATTCACAAGTGGATGCAGATGTGTATGTATTTTATGTGCAGTATGTGTATATATGGCAAAAACATGGATATTTTTATGTTAATATGTTTGTGTAGTCATAATAGATACATGTGTGTGTTATACTCAAGGCACAGTGTATGTATACACATGCCTATACAATATATAAGTACATGCACACATATGTAGATATGTGTATGTTTGTATCATATGTTAAACCTGTCTGATATATGTACATATATGTACCTATATATGCTGTGTGTGTTTACTTCTGCACAAGGATACTTACACATCTGTGTATCTACCTAACTGTATGTAGAATATGTGAGAACTTGCACACAGCACACTATATCTGTGAATGCATGGGTGCCTGAGTGTTATATGGCATATATTGTGTAGGCATATATGCAGCTAAGGGTATGTGTGTATATATAAATCATTTTTTAGCAATGTTCTCTATATATTAATATATGCATGTGTTTGCTGATAGATGTATATTGTATGTTTTTATAAACTGACAACTATATGCAAATATGTTTGTGCATGGTCATGCAATGTATGCAGATATATGTGCATGTTTCAGATATGGTATGTATTGTATAGGTCTCCTAATGTAAACAGTGTGCCTTGTACACACACTTATCTATGTACATAAGTGCATGTTGGTTTTGTGTGTAATATCTGTAAGATATGTATATGTTGATACACAGCTACATATATGTAGATATAATGTAGAAGTATATACACACACTATATAAATCCATGGATATTTTATATTTGTGTATATGCTGTATGTGAATATATGGATATAACCTATTTTTGACAGTGTATTCTATTATATATTAATATGCATATATATTTAGATATGTATTGTAGATATAAATATATAGGTTAGATGGCTATTTTATTAATATGCATATATATTTAGATATGTGTTGTAGATATATATAGGTTAGATGGCTATTTGTATGTGAAGTGCACATGCAAACAGTGTCTTGTATATAAGTATATATCTACCTGCATATGTAGGTACAAGCCATTTTTGTATTTTAGGTATGATATATAGGTATTTCTGTGAACACATACCTACACATACCTGTATATGCTATATATGTCCATGTGCATATATTCAATATACATTATACACCTGTGTGTATGTAATAGATCTGTGCATTTTGTATATTCTATATTGTGTGTCTATATAGAATAGGTATGGTTATGTTCATATGTATTTAGCTTACATTTTTATTTTCTGTATTTATACAGAGGTGTGTGTAAACAATATAAATGGGATATAGGTACTGGTATGTAAATATGCAGCCTGTGTGTTTATGTACATATGTCTTCTGTGCTCATGCACCTGGTGTACCTACATGTGTGTTTATATGTGCACTTACATGTGCATTGCACATAAAATATAAATATACCTGGGTATATTGCCTATACATATGCATTGTGTCTATCTACTTACCTGCAGGACACACATTTGACACAAACCTGCAGTCAAAAGAGTTTTATTTTCTTGTTTTATACAAAATACAATCATGTACAAAAATGTACACAGAGCATTTGTCAATTCATGTACATTAAAAAGACACCATAGATTCAAATTGAACTTGCTTACATAAATCATGTAAACATAGACCCAAGCCCCTATCTGCTAACGTGTCGTGGGGTGTGGAATACACTGGTTGCAGGAGGGTGATGGAGGTGCTTTCATCGAGCAAAGGAAATCTGCCAAGGTCGTGATTTCCTTTTAATAGAGCCAGCCACAAAACCACCCATTTTGCTGCCTTTAAAACTCCAGCCCAATCAAAGAGACTATAAACAGTCATTTGGGTAAATAT